TGGATACACAGCTGAGTTCTACACGGTCTTTGAATAAGAAGTAATACCAATACTCTTCAATTTATTTCAGAAAATAGAAAACGTGGGAGCAGTTCCAAACTCATATTATGAGGCCAATATCACTCTGATTCCAAAACCAGGCAAAGACACATCAAAAAAAGAAAACTGCAGACCAATATCTCTAATGAATATAGATGAAAAAATTCTCAATAAAATTCTGGCCAAACCAATGGAAAAAATAGATCAAAAAAGATCGTGCACCACGATCAAGTGGGATTCTCCCAAGGATGCAATGTTGTTTTAACATATGGAAATCAATAAATGTAATTCATCACATCAATAGCCTTTAAAGATAAGAACCATATAATCATTTCAGTAGATGCAGAAAAAAACTTTTTGACAAAATACAGCACCCCTGTATGTTAAAAACACTAGAAAAACTAGAGATAACAGGAGCATATCTCAATATTGTAAAAGCTATCTAAGCTAAGCCCCAGGCCAACATCATCCTAAACGGAGAAAAATTGAAAGCATTCCCTCTAAAAGCTGGAACAAGACAGGGATGCCCTCTTTCACCACTTCTATTTAACATAGTTCTTTAAATACTGGTGAGAGCAATTAGACAGTTGAAAGAAATGCCGATAGGTAAAGAAGAACTAAAATTAGCACTATTTGTCAACAATATGATTATATACCTAGAAGACCCAAAAAAATTCCACAAGAAAACTTCTGAAACTAGTAAATGAATTCAGCAAAGTAGCAGAAAATAAAATCAATACCCGTAAATCAAAGGCATTTCTGTATATCAGTGAAAAATCCTCTGAGAGGGAAATGAGGAAAACTATCCCATTCTCAATAGCCTCAAAAAATAAAATAAAATAAAATACTTGGGAATTAACTTAACAAAAGAGGTGAAAGATCTATATAATAAAAATTATAGAACCCTAAAGAAAGAAATCAAAGAAGACCTTAGAAGATGAAAGGATCTACCTTGCTCTTGGATAGGCAGAATTAATTTTGTCAAAATGACCATACTACCAAAAGCACTATACATATTTAATATGATTCCTCATAGAAATAGAAAGAGCAGTCATGAAATTCATCTGGAAAATAAGAGACCCAGAATAGCTAAAGAAATCCTTAGCAAGAAGAGTGAAGCAGGTGGCATCACTATCCCAGATCTTAAACTATACTCAGAGCAACAGTAACAAAAACAGCATGGTATTTGCACCAAAATAGACTGGTATAGACCAATGGTACAGAGTAGACATCACAGAGACTAACCCACATAATTACAGTTATCTTATATTTGACAAAGGCATCAAAAATGTACATTGAAGAAAAGATGGCCTCTTCAACAAATGGTGCTGGGAAAACTGGAAACCCATATGTAACAAAATGAAATTAAACCCCTATCTCTCACCATGCACAAAACTCAACTCAAAGTGGATCAAGGACCTAGGAATTAAACCAGAGACCCTGCATCTATTAGAATAAAAAGTAGGCCAAAATCTCCATCATGTCAAATTAGGCCTCAACTTCTTTAACTTATTAGCTCCTATAGCACAAGAATTAATATCAACAATCAATTAATGAGTGGATTCAAACTATAAAGCTTCTTCTCAGAAATAAAAAAAAAGAATCAGTGAGGTAAATAGAGGGCCTAATAATTGGGAACAAATTCTTACCACACATGTCTAATAGTGCACTAATCTCTAGAATATATAAAGGAGTCAAAAATCTTAACACCAAAAACACAAATAACCCAATCAATAAATGGGCCAAGGAACTGAACAGATACTTCTTAGAAGAAGATATACAATCAATCAACAAATACATGAAACAATGTTCAAATCTCTAGCAATTAGAGAAATGCAACTCAAATATACTCTAAGATTTCATCTTACTCCAGTCAGATTGGAAGCTATTATGCATACAAACAACAATAAGTGTTGGCGAGGATATGGAGAAAAAGGCACATTCATACGTTGCTGATAAGATTCCCTCAAAATTGGTGCAGTTAATATATAAAGAAATATGGAGAATCCTTGGAAAACTGTAAATGGACCCACCATTTGACCCAGCTATCCCACTGCTCAGTCTATACCCAAAAGACTTTAAAACAGCATACTACAGGGACACTGCCACATCAATGTTTATTGAAGCACAGTTCACAATAGCTAAACTATGGAACAACCTAGATGACCTTTAGTAGATGAATGAATAGAGAAAATGTGTTCTATATACACAATAGAATATTATTCATCATTAAAAGAGAATAAGTCATGGCATTTGCAGGTAAAAGGATGGAGCTGGAGAATATAATGCTTGTGAAATTAGCCAATCCCCAAAAACCAAATGCCAAATGATTTCTCTAAGGATGTTGATCCATAATACGCTGCCGGGGTGGTGGGATGGGAGTATTAAATGAACTCTAGATAGGGCAAAGAAGAAAAGGGACAGAGGGGAAGGAAGAAGGCATAGGGGTAGGAAAGTTGGTGGAATGTGATGTAATCATTACCCTAAGTACATGTATGATGACACGAAGGATGTGACTCTACTTTGTGCACAACCATAGATATGAAAAATTGTGTTCTATTTGTGTAATACAAATTGTAATGCATCCTGTTGTCATATATAACAAATTAAAATTAAAAATTTTTAAAAAGCAGTTCTTTTTTGGGGAGTTGAGGGGGACTGGTGATGGAACTCAGGAGCACTCAACCACTGGGCCGCATCCCCAGGCCTTTTTTTATTTAGAGACAGGGCCTCACTGAGTTGCTTAGTGCCTCACCATTGATGAGGCTGGCTTTGAACTTGTGATCCTCCTATCTTAGCTTCCCGAGCCACAGGGACTATAGGTGTGTGCCTCAAGAAAGTTCACAGAATTGTACTCATTCATTTAAAAAATACAAAGTCACCAAATAATCTAACATTGCATCTTAAGGCCCTAGAGAAAGAACAAATCAACACCAAAAGCAGCATAAAATAGAAAACAATTAAATTCAGATCCAAAGTCAATGAAATTGAAACATACACACATACACACACACATACACACACACACACACAAAAAAAAAACACTCAAAAAACAACAAATCAACAATTTGGTTCTTTGAAAAAATAAAATTGATGAACTCCTAGCTAAAATAACCAAATTAAAGAGGAAAAAAACTTTAAAGTACTAAAATTTGTGATGAAAAAGGAATATAACCATGAACACTACTGAAATACAGAGGAAACTCAGAAACTATTTTGAAAATTTGCACTCCAATAAAATAGAAGATCTTGAAGACATAGACAAATTCATAAAGAAATATTTCCTACCCAAATTGAACAAGGAGGAAGTATAAAATTTAAACAGATCAATTTCAAATAAAATGAAAGACACCATAGAAAGCATACCAACAAAGAAAAACACAGGACCCAATGGATTCTCAGCCAAGTTCTTCCTAACTCTCAAAGAAGAAATAACCCCAATCCTACTCAAACTATTCCATGAAATAGAAAAGAAGGGAACCCTTCCAAATTTATTCTATGAAGCTAGTATCAACCTGATACCAAAATCAGACAAAGACACATCAAGGAAAGAAAACTTCCTAATATTTAAACAACATAGATAAACCTGGATGACACTATGTTAAGTGAAATAAGCAGACACAGAATTGCAAATACTACCCAAGATTCCACTTACATGAGTTATCTATGATTATCAAACTCAAACAAATGGGGAGCCGAATGGTTGACAGGGTGTACTTTGAGAGGGAAATAGAGAATTCTTGCTCAATGATTATAAAGTTAGAGTTATGCAAAATGAAATGGTTCTAGAGAGATGCTGTACAACATAAGAGTTGTCTATAGTAAACTACACTGCACATAAACACTTGTTAATAGGGTATAGCTCATATTCTTACCACACACAAAGAGGTACACAAGGAAAGTTTGGGAAGTGATAAATGCTAACAATTAAATAACATTAAATAACATTTAAATAACAATTAATTGTTATAATTGTATCACAGATGTATGTATCTGTTCAAACTCATTGAAATGTATACCTTTGACATATGTATTTTTATATCAATTATACCTCAATTAAGCTTACAAACATAAAATGTGCCCTATCACAGTAAAAATGGCTTCAATAGTTCTGTATAAAATACACCAAAAATATGGACAAGTATTGAAACCTTCAGGTCTTGTACTAGTAAAATCATTGCATGTCCTGCATAGCTGTTATATACTTCTTGATAGGAAGAAATTAGAAGTTTAAAGTGGTAATGCAGTGACTCTTTACAAGAGTAATAAGAAAAAAATGGAGACAATAACATGTAATAAATTTTTCAGCAGAAATTCAAGATTAGAACTGTAAGTCTTGATACATGTAGCTTTGATATCTTCAACTTTTTCTTGTTTTCTTTTTAAAAAACAAATATATATATATATATATATATATATATACCTCCACATATGTATTTTTACATCTTCAACTCTGGAAGCAATTATGAGCATTAATGAAATTAATAAATGAAAGTATTTTATAACTTCTCTAAAGGAGAAGTGATTCTATTGTGCTTCTCAAATGTAACTTCTTATATATTTTACTTATTTTTATTATAATTATTTATTAGTAGGTGATAATCATAATAAGTACCAATACTGATTACCAAAATAGTTAATGGAACTTTAATTATTTTTCTTACTTTTATTTTGGACTATACTTTTTTACTTTGAAAACATTTTCAGAGGATTAATGTATATTGGCCCCACAATTCTAACCACATGGAACTCTAAACTCCTATAGTGTTTGTAGTGACTTCCAGTTTGTAATATAAAACATTTTAACTATTTCAATTTAATTGTTTGTTGTTGTTGTTATTTTGATTCTTGTTGTTTGCTTGTTTTTATAGAAGGAAACCTATTTTTTTTCCAATTTCTTTTACCAAAGAGTACTTAACTTTAAAATGTTAAACATAAAACAAATATTTTTGATCACTTACCTTCCTCTCTGAAACTTCACTCTCATTTGAGCTTATCTTTTGTGGCACCGTGAGGTGCAGGAATATTCCTTCAGAATCTGCAGTAAGAACATGCTTTTTTGTTGTATTTTATTTTTTTCCTTTCATCAGAAATGGTCTGAGTCAAGTAAGTGTTCTTAAACAGAGCATACCCTGAGGTCTAAAACTGCTAATTTTATGTGCCCAAGCTTTTTGTGCTGAGCTCACAACGGATTTTCAAGGACACTTTGGAAGTGGCTCAGATACAATTAGATACAGGATCATCGTATTCCTTTTCAGAATCACGTTGAAAGTTGTTTGCTTCAGGACTCTGAGGATTAAACTGAGGGCAGTGCACATTCAACCTGCATCTTCCATCACAAGGTGAGCTGACCCTGGAAGAGTAGCAGGTGTCTGCTGCTGAGTTAGGGCTAAGGTGCTGTGTTCACCTGGCCTGGTTGGGGGTGGGGTAGGGGTAATATGGAGAAAAGCACCAGCAGGGAATCTACACAGTGGTGTGGACAGGTATCAGAGCTATGGGAAAATTTTCCCCAGGAGGAGCCAGGCATTTCTCTGAAGGAAAGGAGAAGGAACAGGGCAGCTGGCATGGTATGGCTTACCATGGCTGGCCTGCAGCATTCCAAGCTCAGCAAAGAGTGCAAAGAGAAGGAACATGGCTGGTCAGAGCAGGGAAGCACAGCCGCGGAAGAAGACCGTTGGGCAGACACAATCCTCGCGAGCAAGCCCTGGGCCCTGGCTCACTGCATCTTGGGAGGACAGTTTGCGGTCAGGGCCTTTGCGGGTGAGGACTGTGGTTCGTGGGAGGTTTTGTGGCTTCCATATGGAAGGGAAAGGAAACAAAACGCACATTTGTGAGCAACTCAGTTGTTGTAAACAAATTTAAATTGTTTAAATTCCTCAGTAGGGATAAAGAAGCATGATTCTCTTTTTTTTTGGTCATTTCCTTTCACCATATCACTTTTCTGATAGGTTGTATTTACTGTGGAGGAAGAGCAAGATGGAAATGTCAATTACTATTACTAGCGATTTTCTACATGCTGTTGACTTAATAACTTATTATCTTGACAAATAAGGAATAGATATATATATAAATATATATATAATATTATATAATATATAGTTAATATATGTAATATATTAACTATATATAGTTAAATCAAGCTAATATTACTTGTAATAGTGTTACAATAAAGTAAAAAGAT